CTTGTTCTAGTTTGATCTCCGTGAAGACAGAAAGGTTTAATGCCATACTGTGAAACATCTCAGACAAAGCAATAACATCTCAATAACTGCATTTGACAAACCCTCCACCAGAAAAGTCACACAGTGCACCTTTAACTCACACAGCACTGAAGATGATGAGTTAGTATCACGGCTCTAGACCCCGAGTGCAGTTCCAAGTGTTTTGTTGCCAATATTTTTGAAAGCATAAAAAGGAAACCCAAGCTCTGGTGTGAATAATACATGCACATGAATCATGCAGCAGGAGTATGTGAGCGTTGTAGTGGCTCGGAGGCATCTTTTAAACACTGGTTCAAATCCCTGTTAGTCACATCAGAGCTACAGCCCAGCGCTAAGTCACCACTCCTCAATAATTCACCAATCAACACGAGATGGTGCGAAAAGATAAGAGGCTCAACATTCTATTAACTCACTTTTTTTTATTGCCTAGACGAACTAAACATTGAATAAAATCTGCTCAAGGAAAAGAAGCTGTGCAAAATGACTACAGAAAAGAGCATTTAAAGGTGCACTATGTAACTTTTTGGGGATCCGTCACTTGCTTGTTTCTATGGATACGTCACTGTTCTGCCTGGAAATGTTCCGCAGTATGACATTAAACAGTTCTACCTTACATTTATTCAATTCAATTAGAGGTGGTTTTATAGCTCAAAATACCTAGAAAAACAGGCATCTTCTTCACAGATCTGACCTGTAACTTGGTCTGGTTTGGGTTCAATGAAGATAGACAGATTTAATGTCATACTGAGAAACTTTCCAGACAAATTGAGAAAAGTATTTGACGTTCCCTTCATCAGAAAAGTTACACAATGGACCTTTAAAGCTGTTAAATTTGGAGGAAAATACTAAAACAGTACATTTTATAGTAATTTCTGAACAAAACTATTTCAAACTATTATCTACAATTCCATAATATGTCTGGAAAGTAAATATTTTTGCTACAATTAAAAACGTACGTAAATGTGGAAAGAATTGAAACTTTTATGAAGGAATTTCAATTACTAACAAATTAATCTGGGTAATTTCATTGGATTGCAGTTATTTTTACAGTGTCTTAATTAGACGTTAGTTCTTTTCTACCACAAGTATTTGGGATTGTGTGGACCTGATGTGACATAAAGCTGCTTAAGTCAACTAAACCCTCCACTTCCCCATTTAAGACTATAGGCTTCAGCGCTGTTAAGAAGTGAATACGCCTTTGAAACCGATCCAAGGTCTGAGTCCTGTTGCTATAGCGACAGAGATGTGACAGAACCACTTCTGTCAAGGTCGATGTAAGGAACTACGCATTTCTTCTTTGTATTTCTTTTATAGCAGTATAGCAATCTCTACTATCTGAGGGGTTATGACCTATAAGTGGTTTTACTTGAAAACCTTGGCCATAGGGCAAAGTATTTTTTTTGTCTTATTCGAGTTCCAGTTTTGTCCTGACAAAGATTTGCTCCTACTCAGGTCCTGGTTTAGTTCTGATCTAGTCCAGTAATTATTAATTCAAAGGTTTGTCCAAGTTTAAACCTAATTTTGTTGTGAAGTAAGACACTATAGAAATCTTAAGATAACTTTTAACAGTACTTTTGGCTACATTTTAATTTCTGCTACTACTTCTTACTTAGTATACTTCAAAACCTGCCTCAGCTGTGTACACAAACCAACCATTTCACGTATCTATCACCTACCAACTGCACTTTTACTAGTATGTCACAGCTCCATGAAGTATAAAAAACTTCAAGAAATGAGCTAAAACCGAGAAAATTTCACCAAGGCTCCAGTTCACCCCACTTGCACGAGTCCTTTGTGGACCTGTTTCTCACTTGGGGCATTAGCATGTTATTAAACCAGTGTGTCAAAATGAGTGGACTGAACACATTATGAGAGCTGAGGGCAAAATTAAACAGACGCAGTGGGGAGGCGACTGTACTGCCATTCATAACACAGCTCAATATTAACAGCACAGAGCAGCTTGTGTCAAATAAAACTACTGTTCAGCCCATAACATTACATTACACCCTGATTAGAAAGGGGAAGTACTACACCTGCAAGATACTCAAGTTTTTATCAATGGTGGATGAAGTACTCAATTTTGTACAGATTCGGGGCAATAAAAGTACTCAAGTATTGAAGTACCTGCTTAAAAATGTACTTAAAGAGTAAAAAGTAAAAATGTTTTACAGAGATGTGAGTCAGTTACATTTTCTAGTTGTTTTGACGTTTCTGTGTATTTGGTTTGCTCCAAAATTGGGACATTAACCTGAATTAAATGTGCTAAAAATAGTTTCAGCCATTTCAGCAGGTCTCATATAGAAAAGTACTTTTTACTTTTCAGTCCAGATATAAAATGTAGTGAAGTAGAAAGTACAGATACCTGCACTCAGATGTAGTGAAGTAAAAGTAAAAGAGACATGTACATTTCTTCTTGCTGAATATCTTGTTTTCTGTGTTTTTAGTTGTTATATTGTGTTTATATTGTGAATTTTCTTGTACTATGATTGTCCTTGTCTATCCTGTGTTTGTGTACAGCACTTTGGTAAGCTGTAAAGTTTTTTAAATGCTTTATAAATAGAGTTGGTATGGTATAGTAAAAAAGTATCCACTGTAAAATGTACTTTAATTGCACTTTTACTATTGTACTTCGTTACCTTCCACCTCTGTTTTTAATATACTCACATCAGTAGTACAATTAGCAAAAGATAAGTATAACAAAGAAGCCTGCAGTCTACAAACAATTTGGAAGAGACACAGCCCAATCAGACAGTCATTTGGTGCTGAAATGTGTGAACGCTTTTGGCAGTAATTGGAATTGCGCTAAACTGGTGATTTCGCAGGTCAATGGAGGAAGATTAATTTATTCATCTATTTATCTAATTGAGCTATGAGATTTAGGCCGTACACAATGGGGGGGAGAATCATGTTGTGGGAATTTGGTAAAAACGCATAGACAGAAATAAAAGACCAAAGGAGCAGCAGTTTGGAGTTTGTGGTGAGTTGTACATTTAACATTAAAAACTTAGAGCCATAATGAAATAGGCAATATGTAAATCAGTATAATATGTTTAGTAAATGATGGAAGGTACCGTGAAATAAATGTAATCAAAATAACACTGTGTCCAAATCTGTATACAAGACTAAGAGTGGATTTGGAACAGTTAGAAACATTTTATTTACTTTAGCCAAACTATACATTTGTGTGCGTCTTTTAAAACAACACACTTTCAGTTACTGTGAATTTCTGATGATTTAAAACCACTCTTGAGTAAGAACTACACTTATACCAGTGCTGAATATTGTGGGCAACTGCATCGCTATTAGTTTGAACTATAGTACCATAACACAAGTTGCGTTCCCTCCCTCCGCTATCTTTACGCGTCGCCTTCTCCTTTCCAAACCGTCCTGCACTGGTCTCCTATCATCATCTGCGCACTCCCTGACGCCCCTGACAAGCGAAGGAGCCGAAAGCCGAGCTGAGTGGCCAGAAAGCCCCATCTGAAAGCTATTCAAGAGGCTCACAAGTAGAGAGATGAGTGATGTTCCGCGGAGGGGAGAGGAGCGCACGTCTGTTCTACACGTTCATTCAAAGAAACAGCGAGGAGCGAGCAGCGCGAGGGGAGGGAGCGCTATCTGGATGAACTTCAGAGATGATCAGTGCGCGTTGGAGGCAGCGGCTCGGGGAATACGGGGGCTTGACGGATGCGTAATTCATTATTCTGTTAACGGGAAGACGTCACCGATGCAGAGAGGGAAGGAAGGCGTGTTCGCGCCGATGAAGGGATACAGCCTTATGTTTGAAGATGTTTAAGATATTATTGTCAACTTACAGCTTAAAGTTGATACATATAAAGTTTAAAATATGTCTTTAATTTGATTATTTTCCCAGTTATGGAGAGAAAGCAAAAGTGTGTTGCGATCAGTAGACGTGGAGACAGGAGGGGGATGCCATTGAAAAGCGCTGTTGTGAATGATCCTATTGATTGCAAACACACTAATTAAAATGTTCTCAAGCTTTCACGTCAAATAAAGGATTTGAACTTTTGATTTGCTATAGAAATATTATGATTTTTTACAGATTAATTCAGGCTAAAAATCTTCAATAACCAGCAAAGGCTCCAATTTTGAAAGTAGGATAAATTAGTCAAAGCATTAATAGAAAACCGTAGAAAGTACTTTGGCCTCAGCGATGAAAAGCCTGACTCTAGCTAAATAGGAAATTCGAATGGAACTTATTCGTGCGCAATTTTGAGGCTATTTGTGCGCAATTGTTTGGCTAGACTCTGCATTCGAAGCTTCCAGACCGCACAATTTTACCATAATAAAAACGACTTTGATCCTAACATCAGCACCCACGGTTCTCCAGCACCACACGCCGCTCTTTCCAAACCAATGATCCTCTGTCACGGAACAAGCCTGAATTTAAAAAGATCTGTGTTTTCAATTGCACCAAAATGTACGTGCTTCTATGGTTAAGTGTTTTAATCAAGAGTGGAATAATCATCGTGTAATTTAGATGTAAGACAGTGCATCCTGCCACAATCATACAACATAAAAATAACTTTTACGCAAATGGAAAAAGTAATTGAAAATGTTTGAACAAATACTGTTAAGGTTCATATAAGACAGTTATCGAAGCAAATATTTAGTATAAAATTGCTAGCAACCGACAAATGACTTCAGCCAGCTGCGCGCAACGCTCTTAAACCTGTGCCACTATTACGCGCACACTAAAAGGATCTTTTTACGCATAAACCCGTTTTCGAGGCACCATTCCGTTTACGCACAGATTCAGGGGACGAGGAGGCGCCACCTGTGCGCTGTCACTGTCTTGGGCTGGTGCTGGATCACCACGGCGTCTCCTCGCACGCTGCACGAGACACCAAACCTGTCTGACTCTCATTCACAAGGAAGTGAAAGCAAGTTTCTCAATTTATTAGAAGGTTAAACAGAAAGAATACATCATAACAGGTACTTACTAAAGAGTCCCAATTGCCGTGTGTATCTCAGTAATCAAAAAAACAAGTGTTTAAATCCAAAAACTGAAGTAAGAATTGGTCCTAAATCCGTAACTCCACGCTTGAGTTTTTCGCCTCAGTGTTGAAGTAAATAAAAGTCCTCTAAAATCCACGTCTCCGGGTAACGAGTCCCGATCCGCTGCCGTTGTTCACTTAAAAGCTCCGAACTTCTCTTTCAACTAAATCCCGGGTCCGCGCTGCTGCCCACAGTGTCCAGGCGCCCGGACCATCCTCTCTGCGCGTGGAGCTGTGCGTGGACACGGCGGAGGACACGCAGAGTGGACGCGGTGGCGCGTAGAGATGTCTGTGTTGTCTGCACGAGCGGAGTGTGTTGCCACGGATCAGCCTCGCGCTCTGTGGCTCCGCTCCGCTGCTCACAGTGAAGTACTACAACCCGCCGCTCTATTCACTCAACGATCAGCAACGATCAGAGACTCTAGACAGTTCCGTTTTGAGTCAACAAAATAAAGGAGGGAAACCTCGTGACGCACAGCCAGCACAGAGGCATGTACCCCGTCCTGATCTGGGCTGATATTTTGAAATACGCACGTGATGCACACATTTCCATTAAGTCATAAACCTTTAGTTGTTAAAAAAAAAAAAAAAAAAAATCAACTGTTCAAAAAAGTTAACACAGCTAAACTTTTAAAAGGTGCAAAGGAAATTAAGGTATATGCTTGTAAATCAGTTTGTGTGGCTCTGATATCCATCCAGATATTTTTTATTTATTTATTTGAGCATACTGTGTTACTTTACTTACCCCTGTATTCTGGGTCGAATAGGTCACAATGTGCTTTTATTGTGAAGGCGCTGTGATGCCACTCTTTCCGCTCGGCTCTGAGCTGCAGTTCGAGCTGGTGCCCGTTGGCTGCTCTGTGCCTGCGGGACACACACAGCAGCGCAGCGGGCTCAGGGGGATCACATTACGGCGCACCGCCCCTTGAGGGGCCGCCACAGGCGTGAGACGCGGTCCAAGCGCCTCCCACCATCACACTCTCCCCGTTCATGAAAAGCGCAGATAAAAAGGGCACTAGCCAAAGTATTATGGACCATGCTTTAATGTTTGCATTGTTTGTATTTATATGAAAAGGTATATCATTTCTTTGACTTTTCCTCTCAGTTGGGTTGAATATGAGACTGAGACTTTTCACTTGTGACAGCTGCCCAGAAAGCACACATGTCACATGACACGTCTTATTTAAGGATGAAGCCACAGGGTGCCGTTCTAAACGGACTCAGGGGCCTAAGGATGGATTCAGATCATACTTGTGTTTGAGCACCTTTATTTGACGAACATATTTTATTTGATCCAAACCTTAAGGTGCATTGGGCTCAAGTAAATATGCTGCTCTAAAGAACTGCTAAGAGAAAAATGTATTTGTGCCCATTGGTTAAGAAAGGAATGCATTCTTTTCAAAGTCCATTTGTGTTGAATTAATAAACCTTATATATTGCAGTGTAATAAAAGAAATCAATTTGAACTTTCTTTTTCATCTGATTCAGCCATCAAAAGGCAGCATAAAAAGAGGGATCATTTCTTTTCTGACTGCACTGAAACCACCACTATCTAAATGTCCTCACTGTGTGAGTGCTAATGAGTCCATATTGTCCCAAATTGGCTTAAAGTCATAAAAAGATTAACCCCAAACCAACATTTACCCCAGAGAAGGTGAAGTGTGCCATGTTAAAGTGAATTACTACTGTTAAATGATCTTTAAACAGAGTCCACTCTGAGGTAACGGCTAATTACCACCGTCAGGACAGAGGTGACAGTCTCAAACAACACATCAATTACCATCGTGTCATAAAGTGTTTTTAGCAACAGTTTTATGATGCCATAAAGCAGTTTGGTGCTGAGCTGAGAGTGAAGAGTGTCCTGTCTTTTCAGTGGGTCCTGGGACAAGAGCCTATGAGAGGTGATTTGTGACCAAAACAGAGTCACGGTGCCTTAAATGACCGTAAATTACAGTGAAGAGGGATGAGACAATTCACCTGCAGCAAAAACTGCTGAATTTGTCTTTGGGAATGTGTGATAAAAGAAGAATTTAAAGTCCCAAATCAGGCTGTGCTTTTAGTTGAATGAGTTTTTTAATGAAGAGGTCTACAGCCAGTGCTTTGAATGTCATGTTTATTTTCGGTTAATTTAAATACATTTCCAACTAACAAATAATTTCCATCTAACAAAGTCCAAAACATTCTTATTTTCATATGCCGGATTTTTTTGCCTTCTTCCTTTTTATTTTCTGATTGCAACCACCAAATGTCTTGAGAAACTCTTCATGGTATTGTGTTCTTCTTATCTGCGGTCCAATCTTTCATTTCAATCATTATCGTGCACATTGACACAGCTTATTCACTATACAGTATTGTCGTTGTCAAATCTAAATGTCTTTATCATGATGTGGCTGTCGTTTATTCAGGTGTGAGGTCTGGAGATGTTGTAGAGAGAAGATGGATGAGTCCTGACCTGCAGTGACAGACTCCCTACTGTCTGATCTTTAACAAATGTGCTCTGGAATGAGAGGCATGTATAAGGTAGCTTCTTACAACTGACAGGTCATTAAACATTATTTAAAAAATCAAGGCCAGGAATAAGTTTTGTGCAATGATTTTTATAAAGAAGGCTACTGAAATAATTAACCTCTAAGTCCTGGGCTGAATTTGTTGATTTAACTTTGCAATGTAAATATGCACTGGGACAATTCATCATTAGTTTGTGTTTATTTGAAAAGCACACAGGAAAGTTGGGGTGTCCCAGGTGTGGAGTGTGTCACTTGTAAAGAGATAAAGAGAAAACAAAAGCATCTGCTAAGGATCATTACCCAGCTAATAAGAGACTACATCATTTTACCAACACAACTCTGTGCATGTTGTACACATGTCAGGAGAGGTTATCAATGTCTTTTCTAGGTTTAGCAAGTTTGACAGTTTTGTTGAAGTTTTCAATTACAATATTGATCACTAACTGCCAAGTAAATAGTGAAAATATATTCAAAATTGAATATGATATTATAATATCATCATATTCAAAATTGAATATGATGATATTATAATATAATATTGAGTATTTTCCCTCCAAATTAAGCAATAATTAGAAAAAACATGTGCACTATTATCCATACACATTCAGATTAAGACAACTTTATTAATCCCACCAGGAGTAATTAATTTGAGTAGTAAAAAGAAAAACAAAAACATCAAAAATGAACATCTATGTAGAATTTAAATGTTAATAGCAGTAGGAATAAAAGATTTCATGTCTCTATGATCATGGCATGTGTCACTGCTTTAACTGACTCAGTGTCTGCAGACTCAATAATTCATGAATAACTGTAACGTGGTCATATTTTTTTATTCGTTCGCAGAAGTGTGCTGAGAGGTTGTGTCTCATGGGAAAGTCAACAGCAGAACCAACAGTCATTAAGTCTGATGAAGAGGAGGAGGATGAAGGCCCTGCTCGCTGACCTGTGGACTGTGTGAGAACTAAAGACGCACCACCCCGAGTGTCACTGCAGAGGTCAAGGGTCACATGGAGTACTGCAATAGTGATGCAGTACTGATGGTATAGTGACCACATGACCCCAGTACAAATACTCACTCATGTCGGGAGGACAACAGGTCTCCCCCTCCCCCGTACAAACCCTATCTCTACCACCCCCACCCTACCCAGCATGCACCTCCCACTGGGAGACAGGCACGGGCCGGGAGATGAGGCTTCTTCATTAGAGATAGTTAAAAATTAATCAAGAATAGATTTGAAACTTGAGATGAAATCATGTAGAAGATACTAAAGTGGTAGTTATTTTATAACTTCTATAACCCAAAATCACAAGATGTAATTTCAAATTGTCACCATTAAATGACAGTGTATGTTGTGGGAGACAGTAATCTCAGTTTCATATTCATCTTTACTTTCCATATCAAGAGCTCAAATGCTTTATTTAAACTCTATTCTACACAAAAATTGATTAATGTGAGCTTTAAGTCATGTTAGAATCATGTTACCTCCTCAAAAACAGACCTGGAGTTGTGTTTAGTTTCATTCACACCTGTGTGAGTGATCCATTATTACTAATCTGTCTAAATCTCCAAAGCTCAGAATGCTCTGTTCCACCTTGTGATGTCATGTAGTTGTAATTTTCAAGTTAGCAGCTACATTTGACCTTTTATTCAGTAGAGATTGGCCATTCCAGGCCTAAAATCATTCAAGTGATTCTAGTGACAGTGTATGGGTTTAAAAACATGTTTGTGATGAGGAAACAACATTATAACAGATCAGAAAAATAGCATAATGTGGGCCCTTAACTCTTAAATAAAAAGTCACATGACCAAAGATGTTTTCAGGTTTCTCTTTGTTGAGTAATGTATCTAATAGCTGTGCTGCTAATTGACTATTAGAACTTGATATGTATTTATTTACTTTATTTGAAAAGGGATAGACACAAAAATGTGAAATGGAGCAGAGCAGTGTGATGTGTCATGGTGCTTACAGCTGAGGCTAATTTGTAACCTTAGTCATAATTGTTTTCAAAAGACATAATAATGTATTTTATCCAAGTTATTTTAGGTATGTGGTATAGTGTCTTGTGTCTGTCCAGAGTCTAATACTAGTATCTGTGAGATATTTGCTCATATCTTACCCCCACCCCCTCTGAGCCACTGTTTGGGTTGTCCTCAGTGGGCAGGGGGCTGACTGACTCATGTTGTCTTTGTGAGTGGACGATGGACAGAGGGGGCAGGACTAATCATTAACACAGTGATTCTACTTTGGGACAAAGATGGAGAACAAAGGAGGGACATGATCAGAGAGACCACTTCACACTCCACTGGACGATGCGTTTACTGACCCCTCGTGCTGTGGGGTAAAACACTGCTGCCATCAGTCATGTAGCACACAGGCTCTCAGGTCAGGGCATGTGCTCACTGTGGTACTGTGGCACTTGTGTTTAGAACATTTCTGGAGAGTTGGCCCAAATAAGCACTTTTTACTGCAAGTTTAGAAAACCTCTACCATCATCAGTGCTGGAACATAACACAGTAAACGTAGTGAAGTACTGTCCTTAAGTATACATTTTTGGTATCTTTACTTTACTTAAGTACATTTTAAAGTGGATACTTTTTAGTTTGAATAAATTACATTTGAGAGCAGGTATCTTTACTTTCTACTTCATTACATTTCTGACAGGACTGAAAAGTGATAGTATTTTTTTTATTACATTTTGAGATGTGATGAAAAGCCTAAGGGTTTAGTTTTAACATGTATATATACAAATAAAAACAGCAAGGGGAAATTTAATTGCGTTTGCTGAATAAAATTCAGCACAAATCTGTATTAAATTCACAACATTTGAAGCTTTAT